TGGCAATCGCAGGAGCTGGATGACCGAGTCTACGATGCCAAGTGGACTCTTGGATAGCTTGATACGCAACGGTTGGGAGTTTGGAAGGAAGTGTGTATAACCCATGCTCACAGAGGCCCTTGTACCGCACCTGGTTGGTAGGATTGTCCACTATCTGGAAATCGTTGGCATTGAAAACAAGAGTGCAGTTGTTATCTTTGGTAAATCGATGGACAGACAATAGATTGGAGGTAAGGGAAGGGACATAATGAAGAGTAGAAAGGTGGTATTTACCATTAGGAGTATGGACAAAACCTGAGCCAGAGTGTGTGATGGGTAGGGATTGACCATTGCCTACGGTAATAGCATCAGTACCGGTGTATTGATGAGGAGATTGTAGCTGAGAATAATCAGACGTGACATGGGTGTTGGCACCAGTGTCCAGATACCAGTTTCCAGAATGATTACTCGTAGATGCATGCATTGCACGGGGAGCACTAGAGGAGGAGTTCGCAGTATAAGAATCATCAAATCGATACCAGCACGCAGACGCAGAGTGACCTCGTTTCTCGCAGATTTGGCAGGTTGGCAGATCCCGTGACGGTCGACCGTTTCCCTGGGACGGTCGACCGTTGTTCCTTTCTCCACGTCCGTTGTTGTATCCACGTCCAGGTGACGGTCGACCGCGGTAGCCTCCTCTACCGCGACCTCGACCGTTCGTAGCGAGAAGTGTTGTGCGAGGTTCGGTGATGGTAGACTCGGTGAGGTTGAGTTTATTCTCCATCTCCAGGTTTATTTCTTCGGAGATCAGCCATCCAGAAAGCTGATTTAATGAAATATTGGTATTGTTCATGCGAATGTTTTGCTTAAAGGATGAGTATTCGGTGGGAAGACCACGAATAACAGCATTCACCACATCACGTTCAGGGATCTCTTCTTTCAAGGCATCGAGATCCGAGAGAATAGTTGCCACATCATCCAGGTATTGTGTCATAGTTTTGGTACCTTTACGAAGCGTGTGGAGTTTGTCCCGAAGCTGATAAACATGAGCGGTGGACACGAAGTTGTACCGTGCGGCCAAAGCATCCCAGAGGGCAGCAGATGTGGTGAAGCCGCGAGCATGTTTGTGAACGGAGGGGCTGATGACCGCTAGGAGGCAGGCGCGGATCTGTGTGTCAACGATGGTCCAGGAGGTATACTCTGGATTAGGGACGATTTTATCGTTTTTGGAGATAGTTGGCGTCGGGGGTGCTTCATGACCATCAATCCATCCAAGGAGGAGATTAGCTGAAAGAGCTGTCTGGACATTGAGAGACCATGCCGGATAATTTGTTTCGGTGAGTTTTCTGGGATTAAGTTGTGGAGACTCCGAAGCAAAAGTTTTACTCCGGAGGGTAAGGACGCCAAAGGATCCGACGGGGCTGCCATGGTGGGTGGCGGTCGGAAAAAAAAAGAGAGGTTAGGTTTTTGAGAGCCTTAGCTCTGATACCATGATACAATTTGATAATAACTTATCTTATTGAATATTGAGAGATATGACCCTATATATAGGGAATACAAGAGTAATCAAAGTACAAGTAGGAAAAGGAAAGAATAATCCTAGTAGGAAAGGAAAGAAGTATCCTAATTTAATTATACTTCCTAATAACGGGGAAGAATGATGATTGACAATTTTATTTGGATGTTTCATCAGTCCTTATGTCACATCTCCAGCATGAGGCGGCATTTGATTGGCCAGAATGTGACTTAGTCGAAAAATTATTACTCTCTTTCTCTCCTAAAACATTTATCTCGTTTTGGTTTATGAGATTTGACTAAAATTATTTTTAATTGAATTTGTTTCATTATAAGTGTAAAATTTAAAAATAAAAATTATATATTTAAAACTAGATAAAAAAACTCCACAAAAAAGAAATAACATAACTATGTTATTTTGTCAAATGACTAACAAAAATAGGTAAAGAAAGTAATTAAAATTTGAACATGTAAATAGTAACTAAGAAAAAAGTTTTAGGACCGGATTAGTATTGAAAATATGTTCAAAATTTTGTTTTGACTAACTTCCAATTCTCTTTTTATAGCAACTTTTAATTCTGAAGTACTCAGTATTTATGAGATACAAATATTTGAATATTGTTTCGCTCTCATTTTTAAAGTATCTCACATCAAATATTAAAAAAAATAAATATCCCAGAATAGTACGCAAGCTCTTGAGTTGAATTAAGCAATAAATTAACTTCACCCTTTTAATATACTTTAATCCAAGTGTGTTGTGGCTCAATCTAGTGACTCTTATAATATTCTAAATTCTAACACTTATTATGGATTGCTTTGAGAAAATACCCTATTGTGTAAAGGAGATCTTTGTGAATTCACACTTTTAGGATATGGTAAGGGTCATTAGATTGAGCCACTACACACTTGGATGGAACTAAATGAAAAGACGGAATTAATCGATTATTTAATTCAACTCAATAGTGACAACTATAATCTATATTTACACTCAGTATATTAATAAGTTTTTAATAATAATATGATAGAGTATTTGAAAGTTATATTTCGAGATGAATCAAATGATATTAAATTTTAAATTTTATTTGATGTATTACACTCCGCTCTAAATAATTATTATAGTTAAAATTTTCTAATTTTGACTCTAAAAAGTCAAATAGGAATATCATGTTGGGTGATTTACGTAAATGAGACCTAAACATATCACTTTTTCCTAAATAAGACAAGTCCTATTCATTCTAACATTTGGCAATAGAAAATTCAAAATTGCACTATCTTTGCGAAAAATGATTTATTACACAATTCAAGTATAACAAGACATTATTAAAAACAATTTGAATTTTTATTAAAATAATCAATCATTATCAAACAATTGTTGTCAATAACCACATTTATAGAGTCATGCGTATAATCAATCATTATCCAACACTTCTTGCTAATGATGGCATATATGGTATATCTTACGTAAATATGTATCATAAAAGGAATAAAACATACTTGGTCCTATTCATGAAAACCTATTACCTTTTAGTGAAGCCTATTTTTCTATCATAGTGGGATGGAGTTAGTATATTTTGAATTTTTGGTCATGTTCTCCCCAACTTATTTTGTTTACTTATTATTTATTCTTATTGGAGTCTGTTCAGATCAGAACTAACTTTAATTTAAATATAATAACTACATTCAGATCAGATCAATACTTATTCCAATCAGATCAGAACCTACTAATTAAGTCAGGCAAAGAGAACATGACCTTAGTATAACTCTCTTTGATTCGATAAAACTTGGCAGCTGATAAATAATACTCCCTCCGTCCAGGAAAACATGAGAGTTTTGATTTTGAAGAGCGATTTAAGGAGAGTGTGTTTTGGTATTGAATTTTCAAAAATATCCATGTGATGGGTAAAGTATGATTTGATGGATAGATTATTAGTAAAAAGGTATGATGTGATAGGTAGGATATTAAAAAGTAAAGAGTAAAAGTGACTTTTTAATAGAAATGAGAAGTGTTTTTTGGGACGGATAAAAAAAGAAAGGGGAAAGGTTTTGAGGGACCAAGGGAGTATGAGAGTGGCCGGGTGGGGGATTATTCTTTTTCACAAATGCATGCATGTGTGTTGAGCTTTAGTTATTTTCTTAAGAAATATTTGTATCTAATTTAAACCATAAATTAATGTATAACGGCCGAGTAATTACAAACGTCACTACAATACATCATGAATTCCACAAAACAACCAAAATGGTGTCTATAAATTAAAACTCAAAACCCCAAAACAAAGAAAATTAAATCATAAACAGCCTCGAAAATCCTATTGTAATCCCGAGAGGAGAAGAAGAAAAAAATTCAGATAAGAAAAAAAAGAGTAAAAATGGCAGTGATCTCATCATCAGTATCACTGTTAGTGTTGTCCCTGATGCTCTTCTGCTCCATGGCGGCGGAATTGGGCACGCCGGCGGGCGGGTGGGAACCGGTGGACCCGAAGAGCCCGGAGGTGGTGGCGGCCGGAAGTTTCGCGGTGGAAGCGCACAACGAAGCAGAAAATGACAATTTGGTGTTCGAAGACGTGGCGAGCGGAGAGAAGCAAATGGCGGCGCGCTTCCAATACAAACTCGTCATTGACGCAAGGAGCGGACATGGGGTTTATCAGTACGAGGCTGTCGTCTGGGTTAAGCGCTCGAGGCTCAATTCCTATTCACTTATTTCTTTCAAGCAATTATAATTTACGGAGTATAATTATACGTTATTGTATAATACCCAATGCATTTCAAATAAAATTCTTTCATTTGGATTTTTTTAATTACAACAAAAGCTTTTACGGTTTACTAATTGTTTGTTTTTTGATTTTTTTAGTCAAAATTAATAAACATTGACCTCAAATTATATAAAATGATACTCCTTTAAATATCAAATGATATTAAATATCGATACAAAATTAAACTAGTTTTATCAGATTTATTATATCAAATATTTTCAAAATATTGTTTTATATACTCCGTAATTAATATACAATGTACTCCGGTATATTTTACTCTCACGGTCCCAAAAACTTTTCTCCTTTGTTTTTTTTATTCTTGTCCCACAAAATGTTTTTCTTTTGTATTAAAAACTACTTTTTATCCCTATTAGTAAATTAACAAACCTATCACATCATACATTTTTACTAATAATTTATATATCACCGAGGGCAGATCCACGTTGAGTACTACAAAGTCCCGGGACCCCACGGGCGATTTTGTATCTAAAGCTTAATAGAAATACTTCCTCCGTCCATAAATAAACTTCTCGTTGTGCGTTACGATGTTTGACTGAAGTTATTTTCAAATCATTTTAAATAAAAAATAGTGTAAAATTTAAAAATAAAAATTACATATTAAAAAATTATATAAAAAAAATCTACAAAATTAAAGGTGACATGACTATATTATTATTTTATCAAATGAGTGACGTAAATAAGCCAACAAAGTGAATAAAATTTGACATTGTAATTTACAATTTGTAAATAGTGTATGAATAATTTATTTGTATATGGAGGGACTAGTATATTGAGATGCAGAAAACAAATTATCTGACCCCATGGTGAAGTGAATAGGTAACCGCTAGAGGAAAATATCTCAAACTCTCGATTTCGACGCGCCCCTCCCAAGATCTTCTTGATAATTCTATTTTCTCTTTTTGTTTTTGTTTTGGTCCTGTTTTTTTTTGTTTTCTCTCGTTTGGTTCTTTTTTGCTTTGCCTTTGTTTGATTCTTTGATTGCTTATTCATATTCACTCTAATAGAAAGTATAATTAAATAGGATACTTTTTTCCTTTCCTACTAGGATTATTCTTTCTTTTCGTACTTGTACTTTGATTACTCTTGTATTCTCTATATATAGAGTCATATCTCTCAATATTCAATCAGACAAGTTATTATCAAATTGTATCATGGTATCGGAGCTAAGGCTCTCAAAAACCTAGCATCTCTTTTTTTTTTCCGACCGCCGCCCACCATGGCAGCCCCGTCGGATCCTTTGGCGTCCTTACCCTCCGGAGTAAAACTTTTGCTTCGGAGTCTCCACAACTTAATCCCAGAAAACTCACCGAAACAAATTATCCGGCATGGTCTCTCAATGTCCAGACAGCTCTTTCAGCTAATCTCCTCCTTGGATGGATTGATGGTCATGAAGCAGCCCCGGCGCCAACTATCTCCAAAAACGATAAAACCGTCCCTAATCCAGAGTATACCTCCTGGACCATCGTTGACACACAGATCCGCGCCTACCTCCTATCGGTCATCAGCCCCTCCGTTCACAAACATGCTCGCGGCTTCACCACATCTTTGAGTTGTACCGTGCGGCCAAAGCATCCCAGAGGGCAGCAGATGTGGTGAAGATTCTATACTTGGCATTGAGGTTCAGCGCACGCAAGATTCTATACTTCTCCATCAATCCAATTATGCCCGTGATCTTCTACGCCGAGCTGGGATGTCCGACTGTCATCTGGCTATTACTCCTATGGCTACGAGACCTATCACTAAGCCTTCGTTGCCTTTCAAGGATATTTCTCATTTTCGGAGCATTGTTGGCGGTTTACATTACTTGGCTGTCACTCGTCCAGACATTCAGTATGCTGTTAATCGAGTGTCTCAGACTACCACGGGCTACATACTCCTACTCGGTCCTAATATCATCTCTTGGTGCACGAAAAAGGAGACTCGTGTTTCTAGATCATCCACTGAAGCTGAATATCGAGCTATGGCTGCAGGGGTTGCAGAAGCTATGTGGCTTCGATATATCACTGATGCACTGGGTATTCCTCCGCCCAAACCGAAGTTATACTGTGACAATGAGTCGACTATCTGTGTCACCAAAAATCCGGTTCTTCATGATCGCATGAAGCATGTGGGCACAGACTGTCACTTTGTACGAGATGAGGTTATGGCAGGCACTATGACTCCACATCATGTTTCCTCCTCAGAGCAGCTAGCAGACATTCTTACCAAACCGCTTCCGCCCGTTCCTTTTGAGTACTTATGTTCCAAGCTGCCCCCGTCTCCGTTGATCAGCTTGCGGGGGGATATTAGGAAGTATAATTAAATTAGGATACTTCTTTCCTTTCCTACTAGGATATTAGGAAGTATAAGATAATTTTTAAATATAAAAAACGAGATGCTACCGATTACTCTGTATAAGTTATAAGTTATAATTTATATTCACATTAAAATACAATTATCTATTTCCAAAAACATCATTACTTTCTCTAAATAGCACCACATGTGTTTTTCTTCTCAATGTAGCTTTTTTAGTCATTATGCATTAGTCATTATTCAAGCAAATATTCACCATCACTGGACATTATGAACATTATTAAGTGCTATTTAGAGAATAAAACAGTTTAAGTCCTATTTAGAGGAAATGACTAAAGTTTTAGTGCTATTTAGTGTCTAAGAACCGGGCTGGAGGAATTATTGGTGGGATTATTCTAGTACTTCGTATTTCAAAAATGCATGCATATATGTTGGGAGCTTTAGTTATTTTCTTAATCTGCACATCTTATCATAAATATACCACTTACTGCAATTGATGAATTCCACCAAACTACCAAAAGGGTGTCTATAAATTACAACCCAACCCCCAAAATAAAGAAATATCAATCGCCTCTTATTTTACTCGGAGGAGAAGAAAAAGATCAGAAAAAAAAATGGCAGTGATCTCACGCTCATCGTCACTTTTAGTGTTGTCCCTAATGCTCTTCTGCTCCATGGCGGCGGCGGCGTTGGGCAGGCCAGGCGGGTGGGTGCCGGTGGACCCGAAAAGCGCGGAGGCGGTGGCGGCCGGGAAGTTCGCCGTGGGGGCACACAACAAAGCAGAGAACGATAGCTTAAAGTTCGAGGGGGTGAAGAGCGGAGAGGAGCAGGTGGTGGCGGGCATCAAGTACAAACTCGTCGTTGACGCAAGAGGCGGCGGAGACGGCGGCGTTCGTTCTTACGAGGCTGTCGTGTGGGATAATTCCTCCCCCAAATCCTATCAACTCATTTCCTTCAAGAAATTATAAATTATATTCGATCTATATTATAATTATATACTCTAAAGTGTAATGCATGCATGCATATATATATCATCAGCATTATATGCATGTAGCCATCGTGTGATCGGCATTTTCTTCTTCAAATAAATAATGATTTTTTTTTTCATAAAAAGAAATCTTCTCCGTTGTGGGGTACTTTTAAATTTAAGTATCCACCTTTTTAACCACACTTGGTTCATATATTGTATATTTAAATTTAATTTGAATGAAATATTTATTCTATGTTTTTAGTTTAAATAATTTTAATTAAAACAAATACAAAGTACTCCCTCCGTCCCAAAAAGTCTTTCCTGTTTCATTTTTTGCGCATCCCATAAAACACTTATATCCTGCCTTGAATGCCAAAAAAACTTTCAAAATAACTTATACCCACAATAAAGAAGAAATGTTGTAAATTTTAGACATTTTAGATGTTGGTAGAAGTATTTTATGCGATGCGCAAAAAATAAAACAGGAAAGACTTTTTGGGACGGAGGGAATATATGTAAAGAAAAATATAAAACTAAAAGCAAGGGGTGGACGAAAAAAAGTGTGATGAGAAAGAGAAAAGTTGAGAAAATATTGGGCCAAAATGACCATTTGTACATATTCGTGTCTGTGATTCACATTTGTCTGGTGTACCAACTAGATAAAGTTGGGTTGGCTAGACTGGGTGACTATAAACCACTTATAATCATTATGACAAAGATGTCCACAAATTTGGATTATGCTATGTGTACCCCAAGATTTGTACCCCAATTTGTACCCTGCAGTTTTGCACCAACATTTTGTGTTGGTGTAAAACTAATTTTTGTTAAACGCACCAACATTTGTGTCCGTGTGAATTTTTATTAACGCACCAACACTTGTGTCGGTGTAAACCATCGAAATGTTTGTGCAAACCTGTGGTGTACAAATGGGGTATATTTGTTGGTGTAAGTGTAGCATGGTCCATTTATCACTTGATGGACGAACTTGTTTTTGCCGGGCTATCATACGACACCAAGCCTTTATTCTCATTGACAAAATTGCCATTTTTCTGTGTTGTCAATATTATCGGCTTCTCGTTTTCAAACAAGCAAACAAAACAATTATCGCCTTCTTGTTGCCTGGGGTTTCTTTCTTTCTTTTTTTTTTTTCAAGCCATCAAAGTTGAAACATTGCAAAGCACCTCTAGGATAAGGATTAAAAGCTTACTTTATTTGTCTCTTCTATTTGGATATCATCTCAATTTATTAAAATCTGATTTTAATTATTAATCTAATTTGAATTGATTATAGTTATATTTAAATTTTTTTAGGATCAAATCTATTTCAATCTCGATCATTTAATTTCAATCAAAATAAATAATAAAGACAAGTTGAAGACTAGTGAGTCAAACTCATAAACTGTAATGGCGGTAATATAGTGTACATTAGTGGACCAAACTTGTCTATTTTGGGCTAGATCTAGGATAAGCAACCTAAATCTTTAAACAAATTTCCAAAAAATATAACACGGGTGTGATCATTGAAAGATTGTGAGCTTGTGCATATTGAAGTCATTTTTCTAAATAGCACTTAAACTGTTTTATTTCCTAAATATTACTTAATAATGTCTATAATGTCCGGTGATGCCGAACATTTACTTGAATAATGACTAATGGATAATGACTAAAAGTGCTACATTGAGAAAAAAATACATGTGATGCTATTTAGGGAAAGTCATTATGTTTTAGTGTTATTTACGTAAATTCTCCTAACAAAAATCACACCACGCTGTTCGTTAACAAAAAAA